GGCGGGCCTCACTGCCCCACGCCAGGTCCTACGGCAACTCCCCTGCAACAACGCGTGTGGGTTCGCCGGCCCCTCTGCCGCAGGCCACTGAGGCGAGTGACGCAAGGCAACTTCTGAAGCGTTCGCGGTCGACGTCGCAGTCGATGCCACGCACCAGACATGCGCGCTTCTCCCACTCGCGCAGCAACGGTGAGCACGTTGGCGAGCGCAAAGCTCCCTTCATGTGCAGCGGGTCACCGATGAGGCACCGCGTCTCGCCGCTCAAGCAACTGTCGTCACACACCCCACTCTCACCTGCGCGGAGTGACGACAACAGCCGTACACTAGTCGAGGTGCTGGCACCTGCGCTGCGCGCGGTGGAGTCGGATAATGCGGCACACCCTCTCCCTGCGTTTACACTGCCGATGTCCACGGACGCCAAGCACGTGGAATGGCGAGAGGCGACGGAAGCGACACTGCCTGTGGCAACGGTGGAGGACAAGAAAGAAGAAGAGGAAGAGGAAAACTTCTCTTTCCGCATCAGTGAGTTCCGCATGCCACGCACCCCGCAACGCCGCTCCAGCGTGGTGGCAGCCTCCCTATCCCCTCTGCCGCAGCACGCCACAGCTGCCCAACGGGCGGCAGAGGCGGAACTGCACGCCACGAACGATGACGAACGTTGTTTGGTGGCCACCAATGATGATGACGAGGCGTTGCCACACCCGGCTGTTGCGGAGGAGTCGCCAAGGCGACGCGCAGAGGAGGAAGATTTTGTCGAGGTGAATCCCACACAGAACGACGCTGTTGCGGCTTCTGTCTCCGCCAATGAGGAAGAAGTGGTGGAACTAGAGAAAGAGGATGGAGCATCCACTGCCACTGGTGTTTCTCTCGATGACATGAAAGAGCGCGCCGAGGAGGACGTCGCAGAAACATACGGGGATGATGCTATCCACTCCGCCACACAGCCCGTACCAACCCCATTGACAGAAGATGTTGCTGTTACATACGTACAAGAGGTGGCTGGAGCGTCGGCGTTCAGTTCACACGCGTACGAGTGCAGCTCCACGACGACAGAGTCACCAGACAAGGAAATCGTGGAAAGCGAACGTCGTCAGCTTTTGTTTGACTACGATGATGAAACGCTACGGGAGAAGGAAACAGAGGCGGAAGTTCCTCTCGCAACACTTACGGCGGTGGAATGCGTGGCGCCTACACCCGTGCCTGAAGTGGACAGCTGCGTTCAATCACAGCAGTTCTACGAGTGCATCAGTGCCCCATCGACGCCCAGTTTACAACTGCTTGACACGTACCACCAGCTGGAGGCGACGCGGCGAGAGATGGCGGTTTCCATCAGCTATCAGCGCGCCACGCTCCGCGTGGAGGGGCGGCGCGGCAGTTTAGTTTTGGTCTCAGGCGACCTGCCAGCGCCCTACACTCCATCCATTCAGCAGCCGCACACGCCGACCCCGTCGGAGGCGCCGAGGCGGCACACCCCCACGCCGCCGCCGCCGCCGCCGCCGATGTCGTTCTCGCAGGGCACGGCGACAACAATGGCGCCGGGGATGTCACTGGAGGTGTCACCGATGCCACGGCCGGTTACGCTGCGCTCTCAGCTTCCCTCCCCTGTACGTGGTCAGCAGGCGGCGGTGTCAGCCCCCTTTTCGATGAGCCCGCGCGAGGGTCGCTCCACGCCGTATCCTCACACCCCTTTGGCTGATATTACTGCAGCCGAAGATGGAGATGTACGCAGGGAAGAGCCGATGGACGGATGCACGCCAAACAGTGCAGTCCGCTCCCTCTCCCGGTCGCTCACCAACAGAAAGTCAGTGGTTGAGCGGCTGATGGAGTGCTGTCCGTCGGATGTACGTGAGGAAGCAGAGCTCCTCATTGCCGCTGATGCCTCAGTGACTCGCACCCCGTCGCGGACCCTCGGCAGCGGACAACTCTCGGAGGTATTAACAGATAACTCCTCCATCTCACAGCGCGTTGCGGCACGCCCACGCAAGTATTACTACGACTACACATACTGGGAACGTCATCTGCATGATACCACAACCAAAAGTGCACAGAAAAATCAACGGAAGGCGAAAAAAGCTGCGAAAAAGGCGGCTGCCCGAATGGCAAAGAAGGAGAGAGAGGCACAGCTGGAGCAGCTGAACACGCAGCAGCAGCAGACCGTTGAATCTGACGCCGAGGCACAGACATCATCCACGGTAGCTGCTGCACCATCGCTGAGGAACTCGATGCCAAACCTCCCCCATGTCACCACCAAACGTTCTTCACAGTCACACCACAGAAGGAATTCGTCGTCGTTCCGGCCGTCGTTGAAGAATGTTGTGTCGAGAAAGAATCGCGAGAGAATTCTGCTCCGCCAGCGCCGTTTTAAGAGACGTCACACAAAATAGCAGCAGGAGGAAAGTGTTTCCCACTCACACAATTCTTTTTTGTTTTTGTTTTCTCTNGATACTTTACGGCACCTCTTTCTCCTTGCCTTCTCTCTCTCTCTCTTTTCGGCGCCGCTCTATTATGCTCGAGATAAAGGGGACGAGAAGCACAGAAACCGCGTCTCTGAGCCATTTGGCTTTGTTCTTGTTTCGTCGTGTTGAACAAAGGCGTGCGCACAGGCGTCGTGTGCTTCGTGCGTCCGCGGCACTTTGAAACCTGGGAGAGCTTGGGGCGGGGAGAAGAAAATGAGATAAAAAAAAAGGCATTGGGGTGCACTTCTTTTGTTGTTGTTGTTTTTTTTTTGATTTCTTTACTGTTTGTTTTGTGCGAGTTCTCTCTGAGTTTAATGTTTGCCAGTTCACTGATAGATCACGAGGAGAGCAAAGCGGAGGAAATAAACAAGATTCATAACTCCTAACGGAAGCAAACCAGAGAAGTAGATTACTAGAGAAGAAATCACATAAACGTAATAGAGTGAGTGTTGCCAGCAGCGGCATTGAGTGGCTCCATGCAGCCCGTTTGTTCTCCCTTATGAAGTGACATGTCCTTTCTCTTGCAACATTTGTAACAAAAGTATGACTGTTCTGTAGGCCGCAAAGAAGGAATAGAGAAGGTGCTTGAGAAACATTGAGAATTGATGCGGCGCTGTTTCGTGGACGCCGTTCGTCGATTCGCAGCACCGTTGGAGTTGCAGTGTTGCACTGCGTCTTCAACAAACGGTGGGACCCCAAACTTTGCACGAAATACGAGTTCTAAGGGGACTGCGTCCTTTGGGATAGACCCTAGCAAGCTGGACCTCGCACTGAATCTCCACGAGGCGGATTTTGGAGCAATGGTAAAGGCGACGAAGGCCGCAATGGCGAAGGATAAACATCACAGAGAGGCGATTGCGGGTGAGGTGTTTATTGGGAATGACGCAACAGCCGAGGGAGAGGCAGCCCCTGCTCATGCTTCAGCTACTGCATCACCAGCGCGACTAACTCTGGCCACGCCGGCTTCTGCCGCCGCCACGACCACCAGCAGCAGCGGCAGCGGCGGTGATGACGGTAACGCGTGGATGATGAGCCGTACCGTGCGTGGGATCGTCGGTGCTGGGGCTGCGCACGACACAAACTCTTTGCATGTCGTGAAGCAGCAGCGCAAGGCAGAGGGAGCACGGTATGGTCTCATGGATAGTCTACGTGATTGTCTCCTCGCAGGGAACTGGGAAAGAGGCATGCGTCTATTTGAGACTGCTCTTGAGACGGGCTGCAAAAGTGTTCAGGACACGGCGCTGGCCACTGAGTCCGCAGAGAGTGAAGGGAAGGAGACCCTTGAAACACTACGTCGCATTAACGCCACCACACCAACGAACGCAGTTTCCATGAACTTGCCGACGCATCGTGGCATACTACGGTGGGGTGGTGGGCATTTTTACATGTTGCTGAAACTGTTACTTAGCAAGCACCGTGTGACCGAAGCTGAAAGAGTCTGGGATGTGATGAAGCGTATTGGCTTTGTTGAATTTCACATGGATGCGCGGACGATAAACCAATGCATTGCAATGGCGCGCCGTACCACATCATCGGATATCATTTCCCCTCTAACCGACACCAAGAAATACACTGAGGATGGGGAAAAGGCCTTCCGTAGGACATTTGTGCTGGAACTGGAGGACTGGGCAAAGAAAAAGGGATTGCAGCTTGATGGGCGCAACAAACACGCCGCCCAAGCTGCCCGTTTCGCTGATGCACTTAAAAATGAAAATCGAGAAGGCGACGGGAAAAGCAGCGACACCGCAATCAACGGCGAAGGACTCAAGGTTGGAGATTTTGGAGGACTTCTGCGGCGTTGTACTTCGGAAGAGTCGACGGCCCGTGTACTGCATATGATGGAAAAACTAAAGGTGCCACGGAAGGGCAACATCTATAGTTCCCTTATTGCCGCGCTACGGCAGCCGCACTACTGTTTAAATGGCAACGACAAGCGCCTTGATGGCACAGTCACAAAGGAGGAGTATGATGCACACAGAAGGAAACGACTGGAACGCGCACGTCAATGGTATGAGGAGTGCCCCGAAAGTGAACGTACAGCTGATGTCTACAATGAGATGCTTCATATCACTCGCGGAGGCGATGAGGAGGATTCGGGGTTTGAGCGTCTTCTTGTTGAGTTCCGTGGTGTACCGTTGTTACTATCGGCTGGTTCGCCACCAGCAGGTGACAATGCAAGTGGGGAAAGCGAGGACACTACGAGAGGTAAACAACAGCGTCCAACACTCAAACCACCGCAGTGGCGGACTCCTCCTAATGGCCGCACCTACGAGATTTTAGTACACCGCAGTCGGCATCTGCAGGATTGGCCAGTAATGTGGGCGTTGTATGACGAAATGATGGAGTGGCATGTGGTGGGGACAAAAAGGTTGTATGAAACACTGCTTGAGGTAGCGGGGCACCATCCACCCCAAGGGATGGAGCCGCACTCAATGGTAATGGAGCTCTACGAGGATATGAAACGTCGCGGTATTGATGTCACAGGTATAAAGAGCACTGTTAGCGTAGTGAATGCGTGGTCTGCCACTCGCCGCAGACGACGGTGGTGATGACTGTCAGTATCACTGCTGTCACTTGTGAGGGATGAGTGATTTATATATTCTTTGGTGGTGTCGAGGGAGTCTGTTGAGTTAAATGAAACGTTTTTGGTCAAGAGAGAATCGAAATAAAATAAAAAAATAATCAAATGGGTGTAGTTTCTTTAATTGCTTTTTTTTTTCTTTTTGGGGTGCTTTTCTTTTTGACCACTGCGTGTGCTCTGTTTAGCAGGAAGAACACAAAAAGAAAAAGAGCACACCAGTAGGGGTGGGTGCTGCGTTTAGGTGATTCCACATGGCCGCTCTTGAGTCGCTCAACTTTGACAGCGATGCCGCCGTTCATTATATTCACTGCGTCCTTTCGAATGCCCCGTTTGACCTGAACGTGTCGGAAGTGGCTCCAATGATCGTTCCCAAACCGGGAACCGACGCTGCAAAGCAGCTCCAAGCTGTGGGCTGCCGCATTGTCCCACACCGGCTCCAAATGTATAAGGAGCCACTGGAGAAGAAGTTTGGTTTCGTTACATTCTTTATTCACCAGTCGTCAGAAACCACTGAGCTTGAGGAGGAGGTGCATCAGCGGATTCTGCTCTGGATCCGTCAAGATCTGACTGAGCAGTTGGCAGCCATCAAGGTAAGTGTTGACTTGGGGCAGCCGCCTGAGTGCTATTCCTCTTTTCCTTTTCTACGGGCCCTGCAACAGCAATGCTCATTTTTGGACGCCACACACGCCAAGGACCCACGGAAGCTGGAGACCTTTCTCTTGTCTAAGGTCACATTTTACGACAAGGCGCGGAATGCAGACAAGAACAACAGGAGTACGTTGAAAAGGGAAGGTAAAGAGGCGGGCAAGGAGGATGTATGGCAAACTGTCGGCCTATTGCGTATTTCATCGTTGTTCCCAAGAGAACTGCTGTGGTTGGGGCGCGAGCATAACCAGTTTCCGCCCATTATAATAACGAACAAAGATATTTCCACTGCTACGTGTAACCCGGGGGCATTGCATGCATTCCTTAAGGGCGCACTTCTCCCACTGTTTGATGTGGTACCATGACTCCTCAGTTTTGTTGTTGTTGTTGTTATCCTCATCCAGTAGTATTACTTTTTTCGTTGTTTTTTCTCATTACCTGGAGGTATTGTTCCCCGGCATAACGCAACAAGCTACTAGGCTTCTGTGTGTGTGTGTGTGTGTAGAGTTGCAGGTGCGTATGCGTGCTTCACTGCACCACGCTGTGTGAGTGTGTTTGATTGTGGATGTGTGTGCCTCTCTTGTTTTTGTCTCATTTCTGTTGTCTGGTGTCAAACAAAAAAAAAGGGGGGAATACGCCATCATTCTCTAGTAAAAGAACACTTGTGCAACAAGATGCAGCGGTTTATTTCTGAATCAACAGCGGAACAGGTTGCTGCTGCAATCGAACTCCCTGACAGTCTTATCGATGCCTTCTCTCGGGCGACGTATGCCACTGTTGGGCCATCCGCGGATGCTTTTGCGGCATTTGCGAAGTCATATCTCCCCGAGGTAGATTCCTGGGTTGCCGCATTTGAGGCAAGACGCCACCCATTCGCAGGCAAGTTGCCATTCTTGAATTTCTGGTATGTTGCGTTCAGTATACTCTGTTACTTCGCCTGTGTCGTTGTGCTGCTGGTCATCTCAAAGATATTGGGAAAAGGCAAATACCGATTGCTCCTCCTCGCGCACAACTTATTTCTCTACGCATTGTCGCTCTACATGAGTGTTGCAATATTTGTTAGTGCACGCGCGGCTAACTACTCCCTGTGGAACAATGCAGCTGGAGAGAGCCATGCGGAATGGCGACTAGCAAAGCTTCTCTGGCTCTTCTACATGAGTAAGGTTCCTGAGTGGGTGGATACATTTGTCATGTGCCTGAAGCGGAACACCCATCAGATCACTTTTCTACATTTGTACCACCACTCCAGCGTCTTCTTACTCTGGTATGTTACCTGCGCTCTTGCCCCGGGTGGCGAGGCATACTGGAGCGCCCTGGTAAACTCCTCCGTGCACGTCATTATGTACGGATACTACTTCCTCACTACCCTTTTTGAGGAGGGGAAAATCAGACGCTTCTTGAATCGGTTTAGGTTTTTCATAACAAAGGGTCAGATGGTGCAGTTTGGTGTGAACTGCATACAGTCTGTGTATGACCTATACATCGTTCCCCGTGAGAAGCTTAACTATGATGCGGGTCTTCTGCAGGTCCTCTTTGTGTACATGCTGACACTCCTGGTCCTTTTTGGAAACTTCTTGCTCACCGCACCCAAGCGCGATAATGCTCCAGTACATCTGAAGCCAGCGCGGTCCCGCGGCGAGCCCTCGAAGACGAAGAACGGCTCCAGCGCGAAGGCGAGCAAGAAGCATCCGGGTCCAGCGTATCAATTGAAGGAGCAACCTGTCTTTGTGGACTCCAGGAAGAGTCAGGGTCGTGCTGGACGAGGGGGGAAAAACAAGAAGAACTAGAGGGGATGGGGGCAGCAAACAGCATTGGAGGTCTGGAAGACTGTATGGCTCGCAGTCTCACTGAGTCCACCAAAGACACTTGCTACCAACAAGGAAGGTAGGCAATGGATATATAACTACACTGTTCGCTTGGTAAGAAGGAAAAAAAAAACATCTTTGTATTATTAAATATATGACGTTGACCGAAAGGGAGGCTCGTGGAGCGGAGTCACTCTGCTTAACATCGTTGTGGGCCCTACCGAAAAAAAAA